ATATTAGGTTTGTTTGTTTGTATTTAGCACAAAGCTACGCAATGGGCTATCTGTGCTCTTCCCACCACGGGTATCGAAGCCCGGCTTCTATCGTTGTAAGTCCGCAGGCATACCGCTGTGCTACTGGAGGGCACACTATTAGGTTATACTTTTGTTGCTAAGCAGCATGATATCACAGCCATTGTTGGAACATTGCGTTATCAAAACGCTGGATTTTCTACATCTTAGAAGTTGTTAATCTAACTTATTTTTACCAATAATTATTCTATGAATACGCCACGAATTCATTTAATGAATGATCTTAATTTTGTTTGGCTCACAAAGAAATTTACCGACGTTTGACTGTCTCGACTGCACTTTTCTGCCTTTTTGTTAGTCAAACTTGATTTCACAAAATATATTTATTTCAGTTATCTATGAAATGCGAGGTTAGGGTATAGTATGGGATGGGGTGACAGTTCTTGCCCCATCATTTTGACAGGCTATACGTTAGTTATATTATAAAGATCTATTATTTAAATATCTTATGTTATAATTATTGCGAGACACTGTGAATAATGTAATTTTGTAGGGGAAGTTTACTGATGTGTTCAACAGATATGGATTTAATAATATGCATGGATATGTTATAAAAATTAAAACTGAGAAACTCTTTGAAGTTTACTTAAAGCTGACATTTTTTTGTTGAGACATCAAGTCTAATATAATGATAAAATCATGCATTACAATGATTTGATTTCACGAATTATGTATTATATATATATATATATATACTATAATTATTTTAATGTTATAATTAAGTATTTCAAAGAAATGTGTAAAAGATACTTAAAAATGTTTAAAGTTGCGTTTAACAAAATTTTATTATACTACTTTTTGTTTATATTATACCAATTAAAATAGCATAAAACTTAGCTAATAATCTATATTTTAATTGTATACAAGTTTTAAGTTCTTAGTTATACAAGGAAATATATAAAAGAAATCCTGAATTTCCACTATTGCGATGCACGTGATGACACACGTGTACGAAATTAAATGTAAAATACTCTCTATAAAATCATTATTGCTCAAACAGACCATAATTTTTACACACTTCAATTTTGTTTAGTTACAGAGCTATCCAATAGAAAATCAGACCCCTCCTGCTACACCCACTTGTCACATCCTCTCTTTCAAAATTTGTTGATAGTTCTGTCTTACGTTTCATTATATATTATCTATAACCAATAGAAAGGCAAGGTTTTCATCTATCAAATGGTGTATTGTATAACGTTGTGTTCTGAACCAATAACCGCCAATTTCGTTGGAGTAACAACATCGTTGACTGGCTTGGATGAATTTGTAACGACTTTTGTCACATAGTTAGAAAGGCAGGAAAATGTTTAAAAGTAAGTGAATTTGTCTACTTTTTGCATGCTATTATCTATATTCTTTGGTGTATTACTTAGTTAAATAAAAATTGTTAAGTGCTTTACTATAATCACTAAAAAAATCAGGCTTAACTTCTCAATAATCGAGGGCAAGAAAAAAGAAGATTGGGTAACTACTTTATTTCTTGTTTTTCATATTTATTCTTTATTTAATATTATAAAGTAACTAGAATTAAAAGCACTGATCTTTATAAATTATTTAAGACTAGAGTAGGTAAAATAAGTAATAATAATAATATAATTAAAATGGTTCACGAGGCAACACTCGAGCAATTCAGTTAGTGGTAATGTAATTCGATAGCATAACCTGAGCTGCATGTTCCCTGAGTGATTTACAACTTTTAATGGCGGGGATAGCAGTTGGACAGGGTTCAAAGGACAATAAAATAATAAAATTTAATTATAAATAGATGTATAATGTTACGAACTAAGATCTACTTAAGATAAATGAATGTAGTTTCAGGTTACAATCTGAAGTCATTCTTGAAAGAAAAAAAGGGTAATTTAGGTTAATTTCGATTTTTCTTTGGTGGTTATGAGGTTGGTCGAATTGACCGATCTCGTTTTGAGATAGGGTAGAGAAAATAACATAAAAACTATAAGGATTTAGTGAAGAAAAAAACGTTTAAAATGCATTTAGAAGGTTTCAGAGATTACACAAAGGAAATTTGAGATTTTTGAGATGACAAAAAGTAATTTTAATTTTAACATGAAAATTACTTTGCACACGCACTATTCTAAACAAATTTTCAATATATTCATGGAATAAAATTTATTTTGTTTTATTAGAAATACTTCACTAATAAATATGACTTTTGTATGTGAAAGACTTGTAATATTAACTGAAAGACTGCCACATTTCATGAAGATATACCCAATATATAGAGAGAGTTATAAGTATTAAATTTATGTCAACTTTAAACGAGTACAGAAGGTCATGTGACTCGGTCAAATTGACCAACCATGTGTCGAAAGATTTAAAAGATCAAGAGATTTTAAAGAAATGAGTTAAGATTTAAAAGTTGTCAAAGTATATTTCGAATCTATTACAAGTGTTAATGTTAAAGAATTGTGAAGTATGTTGAAAATATGTTAGCTGTGTTTTACATAGTACTGCAAGCAAAAGGTGGGCATTGAAAAATTTCTTGTTTCCAGAAAATATTTATTCACGGAGGGAGGAATGAAATAAGTATCCGTGAGAGCAAATTCTTTTAAATACAAATTGCAGTAGATGCAATGTTCACTGTCATTGAAAACAGATTTTTCTTGCAAGGCCTTTTAAAGACGTCACAAGTTCTGAAATCACCAGTGTAAGATAAGAGGCTTATGAAATATGTGTAAGAAACTGTTAATCATTATTAACAGATATGTTTTGAATTCATGATTTGGTAAAGAAAGTGTTAATCATTAAGGACAGATATGTTTTGAATTCATGATTTGGTAAAGAAAGTGTTAATCATTAAGGACAGATATCTTTTGAATTCATGATTTGGTAAAGAAAGTGTTAATCATTAAGGACAGATATCTTTTGAATTCATGATTTGGTAAAGAAAGTGTTAATCATTAAGGACAGATATCTTTTGAATTCATGATTTGGTAAAGTGGTTATTGGAAAACCAAACTTTCTGTCAGGAGAATACACATTTAGATATAAATAGCTTCTTATTTCAGCAAAGAGGTGTTAATTAAATGGTTATTAGACAAAATTTTTATTCAAAAGAATCGCCTTTCTGTATATCAACAGAGAAAATAGTCTCAATAACACATTCCAATTTACAAAATAGGCAATCACTGAAGCATAATAGCCAGGATATTTAAGTAAAACCTAGACTTTCACTCTAGAAATTACAGGAACTTATATCCAGTTTTTGGGAAGAATGAGTTAATAATAAGCCCAGCAAAAAATTAAAAGACAACCAGAGACATATGATGAAGATAATTGAGTACAATAGCTAAAAATGTTGCTCAAGGTTGGCCTTGGATAGGATGCACCAACAGTTGTTATGGAAGTATGCAATCTTGAAATTATTTTTTGTTTTGCTCATGTCCTTCACATTTCAGAGACTTCGAAACATCTGTCAAACACCCAATAAAACTGAAGAATTGTAGAAAGTCAAAGTTAAAATTTCAGCAACAGATGCATCTAAAAATAGTCAATAAGCCTACAGATGGAACCTCTCAGTAAACTGTCTATCATCATGGAACATATTCAAAGCTCAGCTTTGGCATAAGTGATTTTTTGAATTCTATAATGTTCTATAGCTTTTGTATAATTTATCCAACTTATCAGTTAATGGAATTGTAAATGAAGTTAGTAATGCTTATAATGTCTGTTGTAATACTAAAGATTATATAGATAATATATTTTGTGTGATTTGATGATGCATTACGACTTTGTCTTGATTCCTCGTGCTTCATGTAAGTTTCTCGACGTTTGTGATCTGTGTACAAACGCCATTTGACGGTATCCCTGGTACATTAAATAAATACAAATATCTGTCTAACCTAATGGACAATTACACAGCTAGGTTATGGCAAGATCTCTACTGGATTGTATCATATATAAAGTTACTTGACGTCACTTTTCAAGAGTCTCAGGTTTTCTACTTTAAATACTTTTATTGTCAACAATACTAGTTTCATGTACCTTCTTCAGATTTTCCATATGTTTCCTACTTAAACATTAAATTTTACCATAATGTTTTGTATGACGTAGCATTCACAAGCTAAAACGTTATTTATACATGGCATTTCTGTCCTTGGAATCATGAGTAGATTCATCACACTACTGTTGGGAATATGCGACTCCCTATACTTTTATCGGCATTATGCTGGTGTGACACTGTCTGCTTGATTGGATGTAAGGCAGTAGTTATATTCTGGTATACTTTATTTTCATACAATAGAGGAAGAACACATTTTATTCACTGTTCCCATAATTAGATCCGATACTTTGTTTCTATATAATATAAGTACATTTTAATGACCTTTTGATTGAAGGAGCACAGCTGACATAGACTGCTTGAGGCTGAGGGGTAGCTCTTATGCTATTAAACTAGTTCCACTAAAAGATAATTTAAATACGTTTGTAATTATATATATATATATATGATTAAAAAATTAATCCCTCCAGATGAAAGCATAATTCTTTGTTTGTTTGTATTATCCCTTATGGAATAGAACTTTTCTTATTTTACCCATATATATATATATATTAATTGCAACTTCCTTGGTGTAAGCAGAATGACTTTGACCCACACATGTCTGACAGAGACTTGAACACATTGTTTTAGATTGTTCCATATTTTTAAACACATTAAAACAAATGTTCAAATACTCCAATGGATATACTAAGACAGAAGTTGAAGTGCGCTAATCATATAATTTCATAAACAAGAATCATTATTTTGTATATGCTAGGGACAACTATGACTGAGAGGAAACCTTGAAGGCTTATAGCACTAAAATTGAAGATTTGATTCCTGCATTGATAACCCATCTTTCTACTTAACAATAAAAAACTGTATATCAAATAAATGACACCAACCAGTGAATAGAAAACCGCTCTCTCAATTTTATTTGGATTGTAGTTTGAATAACAACACACACACACACACACATCAATAACAAAACAATATTTTATAATTGTTTTTCATTGTCACACAATCTAATTGTAACAGTAGCGCATAAGAAAATTATTCTATCGACTGGAATCTTTCAGGACCTAGAAATTATACCAGGCAGAGTTTGAACCTAAAACAGCTAAATTGAATGAAGAACATCCCAAAAGACTGATTGATGAATTATATATAGCCCTTCAGTGTCTAAGAGGTAAGTCTGAAGGCTTATAACGCTATAAACCGGGTTTCGATTCCCGTGATGGGAACAGCACAAATTGCTAATTGTGTAGCTTTGTGCTTAAAAACAAACCAACAAATGATGAATTGTATAATAGCTTACAAAATATAGGTACAATAGACACAAGGATTTAAAATAGTTATTAAAAGAATCATAAAACGAATTTTGTTTTATTTTATGTCACAAGTCTCTTTATAAAATATTTTAACTGCTACTACATTTATAGGAAATGATGCAATAACTTAATAGGTAGATGGCACCAAGGTCTTTCTTTATGATGTCAATAAGAGTCGAAAATTTTAAGTGTTGCAAAGTGATCTTCAAGACTTTAAAAAGTTCACGGAATTTGTATTTGCAAAAACTTTGGAAATTATATTTCTTTTTCTCTAAAAACAAATAAGTTTTACCATGCTTAGAGTGATAAGGAAAAATATAACTATATAGTAGTAAAATAAGCAATATAGCGTTTGTAAGTGATAGATAAAATACGAAAATTATTTATTGGTAAAATAAGCAAATGTATTTGTAAGAAACAAAGATCAAAACTATTTATTGGTAAAATAAGTAATGTGCGTTTCTAAGAGTGGTAGAGAAAATACAAAACTATTTAGTGGTAAAATCAGTAATGTGATGTTCGTAAAAATGATAGATAAAATATGAAAAGTGTGTTTTGGTAAAATAAACAGTGTAGAGAAAAGATGAAAACTACCTAGTTGTAAAACAAACATTGTGGCGTTTCCAACAGTAATAGAGAAAAGATGGAAACTACCTAGAGGTAAAACAAGTCACGTGACATTTTAAAAATGTTAAGAGTAAAGTCAAATTATACTTGTGGTAAAGTGAGTCACGTGATGTTTATGAGAGTGATGTTTGAATGAAATGGAGAAATTACTAATACAACTTAAAACCTCAGAACTGAACACAGCTTAACGTATTAACATATTGAATTATTTCTTAAGGTTACAGCCTTTTGTGGAATAATTTTAGCTTAAAGATAATAATTTGAAATTTGATAAAATAATATTAGAGATTAAAAGAACATATATTATTCTGCCATATACTGATAATATTTGGCATGGGGCAATTGTTATCATTAATTACAGTGGCAGAAAATTTAACCTTAAAAATATCATGAAATGTAATGTTTTGGTAATGAGGAGACAGCTTTGAACTTTCAGAGGCATGTAATGAATAAAATGATTGATGAATCATGAAATAATTTTTTGGTTTATAATAAAACCGTAAATAGCATAGATCTCTTAAGGGTAAAGTATGATTTTTGTCCTAAAATTCGATTTAACATTTAACTATAAAATCTTGAACTATTGTTTATTACAATCTACGATCTTCATTTAAAGTAACATTTTCTCCACGTGTGTTCAACTGTGTAAGGTGATGTGTTCGCCATGTGACAACAGTTAGTTTACTGAATTAAGTAGGATAATGCGTTCCATAGGCAAGCATAAATTAAATTGGAAACGGGTAATCTGAGTTGAGAAGAAAAAATAATTTCTCCCTGAATGTAAAGCATTTCAGTTGTCGGTTTGTTTCAGGGAAGTGATCTCTGTGAATCACTACAAATCAACGACGTTCATAAGAATATTACAATACAATTCAGTACTAAAATGATGGGGCAGTGGCTAGTTTCTTTCGGAGAGAATAGTTCTGTAATCCAGTGTGTCTTTTATGTTATTCGTACCTGAATATATATATACTGCAAATACGAATTACTAAATCTTTATTTCGGTCCCATATGATGTTTTTATTGTTTATATTATAATATCTGCTGTGCGGGATATTATTTCCAAAAGTTAGACAAGAGTGTGGTTCAGACATTAACAATGGCACTGTAAAATGAAACACAGTGTGCAAATGATATCAAATGTTAGGTTCCCAAGTGTCCTACCTAAGTATTTACTATGTGGTGTCACTTCTAACTCAGTTCGACGAAAGAAACAGCACCTCTGCATACCTGATATCCTTCTAGAACTACATACATTAATACTGGAGGTATTTTTCATCGCTAAAGGACTTAAAACAATAATTTGACAGTAAACAACAATTAACACCTTTTCAAGAAATTATTCTGTATGACGTGAACTTTGATAAATTACATTTCCCAGGGATACTAATTTGTAGCACCTCCCAACTCCCACCAGATAATCAGAAACTTGTCTTTCTCCCTCATACATACCACCTGGTATTATTATAAATAAACATTTTCAGTCAAATGTGAGATTCATGACAAGTTCTCGAATATTGTGGGCTTGTTGCATAGTTTCGGATGTATGTCACAAAGTTCATTCATAACCTAGTTTAGTACATTTTGAGCACAACAGCGTAGTCCATTATGGAATATTAGTCCTTTTTTTTAGTCTCCAGAAGAAGTTTCACCTAAAGAAAGAAAATGTAGTTAATTTTCACCAATAGATTCAATAATAATTCTTATTGTTAGATAACTATTGAAAAAAATGGACTAACATTTAATCAGTACAGAATATACTAAAATTCACCACTTGAAAGGCTGTTTACTCACTAGCCCATAGCAACAGCTTTCAATACATATATATATATATAATTATGGAAGGGTTCTACCTCGGAGAACTAGGGATAAGGAACAGTTTAACATGGGTTTAGATTTTAATTAATTTATTACATACACTCGTCTATACAACAGTGGACTATTATCACGTGTGTAGTAACAAGTGCCACAAAACTGCTAGAGGAGGAAAAATGTTATATAAAATATACTTTTTATCTCAAAACAAAAACATAATATATTTTTTTATTTTAAGAATTAAAGCTTCGTTAATTTTTCTTTTGTTAATGGCCGGTCATTATTTTATCTACAATTTCTTTGTTAGAGGAGTATTCAGTGTTTGTCAAGCATTCATAAACGTTAGAAGAAAGTTTTAGATGTTCATCTAACGATCTTTCCGTTTCCCCGACATACCTAGTTGGACAGTCACTGCATATAATTTTATATCTAGATCACCTAATTATAGTACTCGTTATTGTAATATATTTTCGAAAAATCTTTTAGTTTACAAACTTGTTTTGGGGTCTGGTATGGCCTGGTAGTTAGGGCGTTCGGCTCGCAATCTGCGAGTCGCAGGTTCGAATCCTTTCATCGAACATGCTCGCTCTTTCAGTTGGGAGCGCTATAAAGTGACGGTCAATTTCGCTATTCTTTGGTAAAGAGTAACCCATGAGTTAGCGATAGGTGGTGTTGACTTCTAAGTTAAAAATGGCTAGTGCAAATAGCACTCGAGTAGCTTTACCCCAAATCGAACAAACAAAACAAATCGGTTTCGTAACAGCTCCAATTTTTATTTTAATGTTGTGATTCCAAGGAAAATTAAGCTGTCTGTAGCTGGAATAGTACATGTAATTTCATAATACGAGGACATAATAACAGGTGAAACAGGAAATACTGTTGACATTAGAAAGTACAGGATTTTTTATTTATGTATTTATAGTGTTTTTTCACACTTTAAATGTTGTTTCGTGAACGATCGTAGGATGGTGGTTTAAGTTATGAAAACAGTTAATAAAGTAGCCAATTTCTTCTTGTTCTGAACTACAAATTTTGAATGTTTACATAAGGAGACATTTTAAAGTAAAAATCTTCAGAGAAATGTAGTGTGCCGTCTAATGTAGTTGCTAAAGTGTGTTAATTTCTTACCAATGTTAGTGGGAAGTTGTTAAAGTGTGTTAATTTCCTACCAATGTTAGTGGGAAGTTGTTAAAGTGTGTTAATTTCCTACCAATGTTAGGGGGAAGTTGTTAAAGTGTGTTAATTTCCTACCAATGTTAGTAGGAACCTATCTGTTGACGACATGATGTTAATATTTAGGAAACTTAGAATAAAATTAATTTCAGTTTCAATGGTAAACAGAATAACGAGTGGGAGGATGCTATTGGGCATAGCTTGAAGTGGCTGTCAAATTAGTAAAAATAAAAAGACGAACAAAACAAGGGGTTTTGAATCTATTTAAGGTATACCAAAGAACCGTTGACATTTTCATTGTGATCATGAATCGGACAATTGAAAAATGTTCATGAGGGACAGATATACAGATGCTTTATTACATAGATATTTCAATATTTCTTTCACAACCATAACTGTACATTTAGCAGTGATTCACTGTTGATTCGAAACTGTCTCGTAGCAGACTATATGTAATGATTTAAAAATTTAAGTGCACACGGATCTGTTCCTCGTTTTTAGCTTTGACCTTGGTGTTAGTTGAATTGGTTTACAGGCATCAGTTTACTAATATATCTTCGTTCAACTTGAAATATTAACAGAATGATACAACCGACAGAGGTTACGAAAGTGAATAACTTCCTAAACATTTTTAGCAGACATTAATCATTAAACAAAAGGTTTTTAAATACTGCACACTTAACACGTAATGTTAATGTATTCATATTTTTCAGTTCAACACTTAGCGATAAATATGATTAAGAAAAAGTTTAAAATATTTTGTGAAAATGGTTCTCTTTTCTCTCTCAACTATGATTTATCGACAAAAATGACACAGTCAATTTTCTTAAAGAAAACACCTTTTAACATGTGGTCCTCGTATTATATACTAAATTCTGATTAATAAAAAACGGTGGTTTTATAAATAAAAAATATTTTGAATAATGAGAGAATCTGTATTTGAAAATGATTAAAATTTGTATAAATATCTAGGAAAATACAAACGTAAGCTTTTCTACTATCCGACAAAGTAAATGCTAATCATAACTATTATAAACTAAACTCATTTTTGTGTGTGTCCCAGCAATAAGGAAAAGGGTTGTAGAAAAAGAAAAAAGTAAAGATAATTATTAAAACCATGGGACTCAAACCGATGTAATTTTTGTATTAAAATTTGAGAACATTTTTCAGACGATTAATAAATAAAATGACGTAAGCAATTATGATCACCTGAGCTGAATGAAAGAAGAGGGACGTTTACTGGCACTGAGCCTCGTCTTCGTTGGCACCGTACAGTGTTAGGTATCCCTGGAGGACTAACTAACTCGGTTGTGGTTACCGAAAAACTATTTATCCTGTGCATTTTGTGACTAGATGTGTCTGTGGCCGAATACTGAGGAGACCATTCAGAGTCCCCAGAAGAACCCAGGGGACATGACTGCTGTGGAAGGTTCACCCTTTGCTTGGTTGTGTGAGATGCTTGAGTTTTATCTATGTTTATTGAGCGCCAGAATCCAGAGAAAAGATCTAGACCTGCCGATCCTCGTCGAGGAAGACCTGGAGTTGTTGTATGTTCTGGATTGATCAATATTCCCTGAGAAATGGTGTTTTGCAGTCTGCTAGATCCTGCACCCAATCCGTGGAAAGTTAAACGGCTACTGGTCGGACGTAGAAGAGCTTGTAAAATTTCACCCATTGAATCTCTTCTACATACTGTTGAAGAACTTTTGCTATCCAAATATTGGAGAGGATCTAATCCAAAACCCGGCCCTGGACAAAGGGTTTCGACAGAAGTTGGCACGCGACCCATGAGAGAAAGTGGCACGTCTGCTGGTAGGGAACCCCGTCTTCTAGCCAACTGAGGTCTAGATGGTGGAATACACGGAAGAAACGTGTCTTGATTTTCTGAGCTGTAGCTACCTTCTGGATCGTTACTGTCTGTGTCGAAGGTTCCTCTACTGCTAAAACTATGACGAACTACTCCTGGAGGAATCGAACTATTTCTTCTGGTACTGCAAGTAGTTCCCGTGCTGGTTGGACCAGTGCTGGATCCTTCATATTCAGACTCTGATGATGGAACAACGCACAAAGTCTCAAGCAACCCAAAGCTGTGATGTCGAACCAGTTCTTTCTGTAAACGTACATTTTCATCCTGACTGTTTCTAAACTCTGAAGCCACGGAATCTCTGACTCCTGCAAATGGAAAAGGTATTCTTTACAGTTTGTTTGGTTCTCAGTTGTTTTATATGCATGAAGTAACTATAACAACCGATGTAACAGCAGCCACGAGGAAGCTTTTTGTGTTTGACCGACAATCTTCAAATAGATCATTTCATGGCCTTTATTTTGTACATTCTACACTTCTGTCACGTTGGATCGTTAGCTTTTTCTGCGTCTCTATGATGGCAGTTCTAAGGTATTGCTCATTGGAGCTTTCTTTAAGAACTTGTTAAGTCAACACTTTCTCTTAAAGCGCATTTTGTACAAGTCGTAAAAGGTCCATATTGTTAATATTAAAAACACTTAGACAAAAAATAGAGGATATTTTAAACTAACTTTGAAAATGAATGAACACTTCCGAGAAAGATTTGAAATAAAAATGACATTGTATAATATAGCCTTAATATCTTTAATAACAAGAAAATGGAATTTAACTACCATACTTACCCGGACTGAAATATCATCTTAATTTTTTTTTTGTCCAAACAAATTAACTAACGATAAATAGTTTGTTGAGATAAGGTAACTATTAAAACCCTTCCTGTATGGTGGAAACCCCTCACTGTAGCAAAAACTGTACACAGTATTTTCAACGTAGAAGGAAATACAGCTTCTTAACTGTAGCGAAACGCTTTGCAAAAATGTCACACACACACACACACATATATATATATATTAATTTATATTTACCATATAATCATGTGAAAACTGTATGTTTACGTTTTGAGCTTTCAAACCCCCATTATATATATTACTAGATCAGAACTATGAAAACAATGGTCTGGTTATGGATGGATGAAAACAACCGTCAAAATTAACAAGAGGTATGGGACATACCTGTAACAGATTTGGTTGAAATAAGCAAGAAGTAAGGAACATTCCCGCAACAGATAAAGTTAAAAGAAATAAAAAGTTAAGGTGACATACCTGTAATAGGTTCAGCCGAAAAAAAGCATAAAGTAAGGAACATTCCCGCAACAGATAAAGTTAAAAGAAATAAAAAGTTAAGGTGACATACCTGTAATAGGTTCAGCCGAAAAAAAGCAAGAAGTAAGGAACATTTCCGTAACAGGTAAGGTTGAAATAAATAAAACGTAAAGAACACGTCTTTTTAAGGATAGTTAAAATAAACAAAAGACATAAACAATTTATGTCTTGGAAATTGGTGAAATAAACTCCACGTAAAGAATGCATCAGTCATAATAGTCTTGATTGAAATGAATAAGAAGTAATGGAGATAAGTATTTGGTTGACATGAGCAACAACAACAACAACAAAAAAGTGAAAAATAACCGAATTCTCCTAGGTTCAGATAAAATAAACAAGGAGATAAGGATCGACGGGTAATTTAAAACAGATAAGAATCACAGAACACTTCCGCCACAAATTTAGTTGAAACAAACAATACTATGAAAAACTTATGTCGTAATTGAACACAAACGTTATTTTATTTCACGACAATACTACTATGTTTTCCAAACACAGAAAATAGCACAAGTGATTGCTATAGCAATATATACACTCAGACTTTCTGTGTTTTCGAAAGCACAAATAACGTACGATTTTCAATTAAAAATTGTGTTTATTTACATGCATTGTTGTCTTGTGAAGTCACATTGTTGTCATTTGTATGTACAGACTGTATAACATCCAAAGATTGTGCATCAGGCAACACATTCGTGTTCTGTTTTGTTAGCCCACAGCTACTGAGTTGTTTCAACTTAAACTAGTGTTTTAGCCATTCTTAGACCAGGTCTATCTATATCCACAGATTACAAGTTGTGTTGTTATTAACTAAAACTAGTGTTATAGCCATTCTAAGGACAGTTTTACATTCATAGAACATAAATTGCGTTGTTTTTAATCTGAACTAGTGTTATAGCCATTCTAAGACTTGGTTTATATTCACAGAACACAAGTTATGTTGTTTTTCACACACGTTTTTCGTTTTGTTCATTAGAATGCAGAAGCAAATAACACGCTCGTCACATATTTGTTTGAATAAACTTAAAAACAAACTTACCCGTCACAGGTTTGATTGCAAAAACAAGAAGTAAGGAACATACACAACATATGTTTCCATGCAATAAAGAGAAATAAAGAATATGTCAGCCCAAAGTTCGGTTACAATAAACAGGAATTAAGAAATCAGCCTGTTTGATGATTACTGATATAAACAAGTAAATCCATACTCGACTTAGATTCTCGTAAAATATACAAAATGTAAGAAACTAATCTGTTAAAGATACTTGAAATGAAGAAGTAAGGAATATGTCCCTCGCAGGTTTGGTTATAATAAAGATAAAGAAAAAAACATACATGGCACACTTTTCATTGCAAAACACAAGGAACAGAATATACATAGTTTGGTTGAAACGAGCCTGTTTTAGATTAATAAAAATCAGCAACTAGTAATAGATATACCTGTTTCAAGTTTGATTGAAATAAACAAAAATATAAGGTTTGGGTTTTAAATAAAAGCAAGAAGTATGAAACATAATTATCGTATATCTGACTGAAATAAACAAGAAGTAACGAATGACCGTTTTCTTTTAAAGTATGGCTACAATAAAAAAAGTAAGGAACCTAACCGTATCGGAATTGATGTAAATACACAAATCCAGTTGAAACATACACAAGTAAAAAAAAACACATTATTCCGACCAAAGTACACAAGAGGTAAATAGTCAACCTATTATACGTTAGGTTGAAATAAACAAGAAGTAACGAATGACCGTTTTCTTTTAAAGTATGGCTACAATAAAAAAAGTAAGGAACCTAACCGTATCGGAATTGATGTAAATACACAAATCCAGTTGAAACATACACAAGTAAAAAAAAACACATTATTCCGACCAAAGTACACAAGAGGTAAGTAGTCAACCTATTATACGTTAGGTTGAAATAAACAATAGGTAAGTAGCTAAGCTGTTATACGTTAGGTTGAAAGAAACAAGAGGTAAATAGCTAAGCTGTTATACGTTAGGTTGAAATAAACAATAGGTAAGTAGCTCAAGTGTTATACGTTATGTTGAAATAAACAAGAGGTAAGTAGCTAAGCTGTTATACGTTAGGTTGAAATAAACAATAGGTAAGTAGCTCAAGTGTTATACGTTAGGTTGAAATAAACAAGAGGTAAGTAGCTAAGCTGTTATACGTTAGGTTGAAATAAACAAGAGGTAAGTAGATAAACTGTTATATGTTAGATTGAAATAATGAACAAGGGTTAACTACGTTAAATGTCACAAATAAAAAATAAGGTAAACACCGGTTTAAAATTTGATGGAAATAAACCAGAAGTGCAGATCTAACATAACCTTCAAACGACTGGAAGAAACAAACAATAAGCAAGAAGCACATTTTTCATAGGTTAAGTTGAAATAAACTACAGAAATTAACGAAACTATTTAAAGATAATTGAAATGATAAAACATAACATTATAGAACAACATTATATCTTCTAAGCATCCAATAAATTAAACTAATCCCTTAAAAAACTCACATCCAGCCTTTATTCATCAACACTATCAATCTTAAACACCTCCATCACATCTTCTCTAACCCTTCATTTTTCAAGATAAAACAAGTTGAGAGATTGTGGCCAATCCTCATAGGATAACATCTCCATACCAGTTATCGTCCAAGTAGCCCTCCCCTGAATCCTTTCCAACAATTAAATGTCATTTCTGAGGTAGGAACCCAAGACTGAACACAATACTCCAAATGTGACCTAACCTATGACTATACAATGACATTACAACATTGTTTGTATGGCTTAAACGACTGATCAACCAGAACACCAAGAACCTTTCCTTCCAAAATACTGTTAAGGTTATTCATATCAGAAGTGTACTTATAATTCAAATTGTGATATCTAAGCTACATTATCTTGCGTGTATTATAATTGTTGTTTGTTTTAAAGCAAAGCTACATTGGGATATCTGCTGTGTCCATCGCGGGATTTTATTTTTTAAGTCCATAAACTGACAGTTGTCTACCCCCGATCAGAGACTATTATAATTAAGAGCTACCTGCCATTTATTTGCCCAACTCACCAATAACCCAAATCCTTTTGTAAGGCAGAGCATCCTCTTTATACCCAGCAAACCCATAATTTAATGTCGTTAGCAAATTTAGATAAATATGTATGACGTTATGATATAGTTGTCATACAGATTTTTCGAGATAAAAAATACTTAAACAGCAGATTTTAGTAAAGGTTTTTCAAATAAACAAAAAATAAGGATCAAAGCTACCAGAGATTTGTTTGAACTAAATCATTCGCAAAAAACATACCTGAGAGAGGTTCAGCTGGAACAGACCAGCGGCGACTAAAGACCGAAGAAACTGAATGATCCTTCATTTTCCCGTATGAGTCACTGAACTTCTGTACACTAGAAGTGGGAGCCGACCCTCTTCGACAAACTAGTCGCGAACTGCTTGATGTTGAACTCTTTGTTGATCCCCCTACAGAAGGTACAGGGGAATCACAGCCTTTACTTGGACTATCTGGACGTTCGTCAGACAAACTTCGGGTTATGTGGGTACGCCAAGAAGTTTGTTTCCCGGGTTCGCAGAGTTCCTTTTCAGGGTTTTCTTCTCCCAGAAAAAAATTCACATCACAAGTTTCATCTGCTAACAACGTAGCACTAGAATCGTGAGTAGAGCCATTGTCAATGTATTTATTAATAGTACTTTCGGATTGTGCTAAGCTTTTATCTTTAATGAGGATTACTGAAAGAGCACCTGTTCTTTCAGAGCTATCCTGCTGTTCCGGAATTGAATGAGAAGTTGATTGTCTAAAAGATTCAGTTCGTTGAGCATTTTCCGTTCCTTCTGAATAGCATCTGGGTGACACGGTACAGCACTCGTTGCTGCAGTCCAAAACCGAATCGCCCATTTCGTCTATTTGAGCTCCCACATCCCCTTGAAATTTATCATAGGCATCAGCATTCAATGTATCGGAGGCTATATTTGTCAATGGACTGTTTGTCCTCCGATAGAACATTTGGTTATGTACAATCACCCCAGATGTTCTACTCCCACTCGTTCGATATTCTAAGATTTCTGGTTCTATATCTGTTGTTCTGTCAACATCTTTGACGTTTTCACTGGGTTCCGTTTCAAGATGAGCAGATTCCAAAGTGTGAGAATGGAGTGAGCATTCTAACGTTAGTTCTGGTTTCAGTTCTTTTGAGTCGTCTGCTAAATGTTGAAGCCTCTGTAGAAACAATGAATCTACACCAGTAGAAAGAGAAAGTATACTTGTCCTGGTCTGTAGAAGTCTTGATACTGAAGGTTTTTTAAAAGGCGTGTACAGATTAGGGCTAGGTATTCTAGATGATATGGATAATGAAGGTCCAACACTACTTCTCCTCCGATACTGGAGAACCTGTGGGGCACTGAATTGACGATTTCTACCTTTTAAAAGCACCTGCTGATTTTCTACAGGCATGCTATAACGTCGGCGATGAAATGGCCCAAACGCCTCATCGAAAAAGAAGCTTTCACCAAGAAAACTTCCACATTCATCCACAAAATCCTCTTCATCAGAAGCCAGAGGAGCATATTCTTCCATAGCCATGGCAGCTGCTCCAATCGTTGTACTCGTCTCTTCTTTATCAGCTAATTCTCTTTCTATACCTTCCTCCCATTCGGCCTGATTATCTCTCAAGTTTTTCATTAGGTGGTTTGATAGAGAAGTGTTCAAAAACTGGTCCCAAATTTCAAACAGAGGGGACACCACATAGCGAAAAAAATCTGAAACTCACAGTGGAATTAGATAATATAATTGAAAGTTTTCATCCTTAAAAAAATACTAAATGCCTAAATATAGTAAAGATAGTAAACTAGATATTTTTTTACAATATTTAGCGATTACGTGTAAAATTATTAAACAACGGTAGGACACATACAACCAGAAATCGTAATATCAGTATTTAGTAATGAAGAGGAATAGTCAAAAACAAGGTATTAGTTAAAAAATAGATTGGATTGTAGGTAAGTTTAACCATTGTCATCTTGTGAATTAATTAACATGAACAGATTGAAGCTATTTGGTTTTAAAATAACTATAAGAGCAAAAAATGTTTAACATTAAGACGTATAACAAGTATATAATTTTTATTATTACCCTTGCAGTCCTAAAATAAACGTTTTTTTTTTTTTTACAGTAAGCTATATAACATTAGGATTCATGTCAATTTCTTACCCTCAGCGATATAACAAGCAAGATTGTATTAGATCTTTACTGTATCAAGATAAATAACTGATAGAGTAACACTTCTTTACTGTCAACTTTCCAAAAATAATATCAGTTTGTTTTTTGTCCAGCGAATAATAATCAAATGAAATCAGGTTATTTATTGCTAGCTTAATAATAATAATATTAGCTTCACTTTTGTTAAAATAAACAAACGACTATCTTCAGATATTACACAGTTCTTATCAACGTTTCGGCTTTCGCCTTATTCACGATGTTTGGTCTAACACAGCCGAAACGTTGATAAAAGAAATCTAAAAAGAGTAATACGTAAATTTCGTCGTTTGTTTATTTATTTTAGATTACGTTCTGACAAAATTCATTTAGCATTCAATATAAAAAACAAAAACAATAGTATTAGGTTTATTATCATCATTTGTATAACAATCAAAAATAGCACCAGTTTCTACTCTTAGATATATAAATTCAAAGTAGCTCTTTTTTACTGATATCTTTATAACTATTGTTTTATCATGTGTCACAAAGATACTCACCAACCTGTATCCTAGCAACAGAAGTTCTGGTACGATCACACATGGGCGTTACGGGAAGACTAAGCTCACGTTCTATGTCACCTGTAGGAAAACCTGATGTCAAGGAATGCTTGTACTCGTTCTCGGCTTAACAGTCATTTATATAGACTCTGTGCTTATTAGTCAACATAGCTTTATATACGTAATTAAAAGCAAACACTTAATAATCAAATTATTATTTGTTTCATTTTACTTTAAATTTAAGCAAAATCAATTAGTCACGCACATGAATAACAATACCCGGATTAAAATTCAAAATTGAAATATGAAAATATTGATATATATTTTTTGAAAGGAAAGTTGTACTATTTTCTTCTTCACACTTTTAACAACAAGGTTGTTGACTAATGTTGAACCAAAATAATGATCACATTACTTTTCTACTCATGATATTTAATGCTATTCTTATACATGATAGTACAAAGAAACGTAATTCACTGTTTAATTTTCTCTTTCTCAGGATTTTGACAAATGGTAAAAATAAATACTAAGTATTTGAAAATAAACTTTAAAACGCAACATAGTTGCTTAACTGTATCACACAGATAGATCTTTCAACTCAAGATTTTGGACTTAAACCATATTTTTTTATTTTTTAAAAGAGCTATTAAACTTTACATCCAACACTGATTCTCAACATCCTTCGAAAACACGTATTTTGGAAATACGAGGACTACCTTGACGGTAAAACTCCTTACAAACTTGGTAGCTCCACTGTTGACTTATATCCCAAGGACGACAAGGGTTACACAGGTCAGCACATTTCAAACCTATCTGAAATGAACAAAGAACTAAATCAACTAAAACTTGTACAGACAAAAACTACCACGCTGAAAGTTTTCATTGTTTGTAAATGACTTTAAGCATTTAAAATATTTGGGTTTAGGTCAAAATCTGCTCACCTGTAGAATAAAATGCCTAATTTCTTTCTTCGATAAATCGAGTGCATTTTCTGCAATGTATTTCTGAAATTCGAGGGAAAATATTTATTACGTGCCAGGAATAAAGCTTATAAACAACTGCAAAAAAATGTAAACAGAAAATATGCCAGTTTATTCATTTTAATTCTTTGAAAAATTCATTTTAACCAGATATAAGCGATACTTTATAGAGTGTATTTCCATAATTGTTAAACCACAGACAAGGCCTGTTCAGCTGGTCGAAAGTAACTCGTGTGTGACAGATGGCTTTGTTCAAAGAGGAGTTTAGGCTTAACACTATTGTTAGATTATGGGACAGTAATTATTCCGTAATGTATAAGTTATTGCTCTATAAGTGGTAATATATAGCTTAGAAAAAACCTTAGGTATAGCTTAAATGTATTGGATAAAATCAATAGGTTAGGTGCATCAACATCAGAATGATTTGCTTGACTGTATTACAAGTTTACAACATTAATTATTAATGTTATAATTATTTGCTTAACCGTAGATAGGAATTCATACAAACAATATGAACAAAGGCTCACCTTAAATCTTGACAAGAACTCCTGCTGGCGGGTTATGTCTGTAGCGAGAATTAACGATCGAATTTGACATTCCACATCATCACTGAGAAAAGAAACCTTTTACTGGGTGAATTTTATAAAAACAAACAAAAAAAAAACACTGTAAAACTCGGTAAATATAAACTAAGATGTTTTAATGAACTCACACAAATTACGAGCTAGATAAACACAGCAAATGTTCCCATAGTGATCTCTTACAGACATAAGTTTCAAAAAGGTTATAAATATTTTTTATGCCCCCATTTACATGGTCCAGTGTTTGATCCTGCTCATACATCCACGTTTTCCCTAAGGTTTTCAACAGTTGTATTGCTCATCACTTCAGTGTCCAGTGTTCGATCCTTTTTTTTAAACAAGTATACGAGACATAAATAACAGTTACCAAATCCGGATCTTCAGTGTTCGATCCCTTTCATAGAAGCGAGTGGTTCAGTGTTATAATGAAGAGCTGATGTACTCCTGTACGTAGTATTCAGTGTTCGATACTTTTCATAGAAGCGATGAACAGCTGATGTACTCCTGTACGTCGTATTCAGTGTTCGATCCCTTTCATAGAAGCGAGTGGTTCAGTGTTATAATGAACAGCTGATGTACTCCTGTACGTAGTATTCAGTGTTCGATACTTTTCATAGAAGCGAGTGGTTCAGTATTATAATGAACAGCTGATGTACTCCTGTACGTAGTATTCAGTGTTCGATCCCTTTCATAGAAACGAGTGGTTCAGTGTTATAGTGAACAGCTGATGTACTCCTGTACGTAGTATTCAGTGTTCGATCCCTTTCATAGAAGCAAGTGGTTCAGTGTTATAATGAACAGCTGATGTACTCCCGTACGTAGTATTTCAGTGTTCGATACTTTTCAGGCAAACAAATATTTCGTTAAGTTGTTAAGAGTTTTTAGGTCTGTTGTCAATACTATAAAAATACTATTTAATATTCGAAGTATCTTATTTAATGCTCATCAATTTCCATATTTTATTTGTTATCTAGCTCTGCTTACCCTCTTAGCTTGTTTAATTATTACATTAATCCAATGTGGTTGTAATTTTCTAAAGATTATTGCTGATTATATAGTTATTTTACAGATAAGAAGATTTTTTTTATGCGAGTCAAGCAGTATATAAAGATATAAGAACGAAATTTTTATCCCATGCTGTTTCGTATTTGATCCACATGCTTTTCCATCACAACTTCATCAACAATCTTCAGGTATTCCGGTTTAGGAACTAGCCGATAGCTAATAACTTGTTATTAAATAAATGTGTTTGTTTTTTTACTTTTAGAGCAAAGCCACATTGGGATATATACTGTGCCAATCTAGCTTCGTAAACTTACCGCTGTCCCACAGGGAGACTATTAAATAAAAATAGTGTGAAAGAGAAAATCTTCGTCTTACGCTTCAATGTACGTTACGGTATTGAAGGGCGTGCCTTTATATAATACATTGTATCTTGTTACTGTTGTGGAGACTGGATACTTGATGCGATTGAACTGTTATCATTAACTCTAATGATGATGGCGAACTGTTTAGTAATCGAAATATCAATAAAGAAGAAGAAAAAACTAACACCCACGAAGAGTAGTTTCGACTTTCTATGACAAACGTAAGCTCAAGTGTGGCTTTAAAATGTAACTTAACCTTTACAAAACTAGTTTTGCCTTTAAAATATTTTGAAAAACTGAAAATAATAAAAAATATATTGTCCAAGCTTTTAAGATGTCAGAAATTGCTGTGACCTATATAAATATACGATGTTAGCTACAAATAAAAATATCTCACGAAGAATGAAAGATTAAACACAAAAATATTTATAAATTTACAAGCTATAATTTTGTAAATCTGTAAGGGTTTTAACAATTACCTATATAATAAATTTTATTTAATGATCGAATGGAAATGTCGTGTTTACTAAACGTGATCTCAGCTTTTCTTGTACCCTTATATTCGATACATATATTTTGAGCTTAGCTTTGATCTCAATGTTTAAAACATTACTTCTTTTGCGTTAGTCAATTGCTATACGGAGCTTAAAGAAAGACTTTAACTCTGTTGAAGTTATATAAGTCACATACGTACACACACAGAGAGACATAGCTGGTCAGAACCAAGTCTTTTGCAAATATGTATTTACACAGTATATAATTATTTTGCCCGAAAAACACTGTTTATATTCAAGTAAAACGATTGTGTTTGCTATACAGCCTCACTAGGGTGAGTCTGATAATAACAATAATATGCAGTATGTTCGTAACACAGCCGTGTTTTTCAACAATGTTTTGACGAACAGCATCGCATTGAAACAAACAGAAAATCAGTCTTAAAGAGCAAAGAATCAAGCATCTTATAGCGTGACTTAACGTTTCAAAGTCGGGCAACACCAAACTCAAATATCAACAGAACTTTCTCTGAGGATGACGCATTGTTTGAGTCTATAGTTTAGGTAGGAAAAAGCAAACAACACGAAATGTTAGTTTGTTTGTATTTCCACGAAACCTGTTGTTTGCGAAACTTAAATACTTTCAACAAACATTTGTTTTCAACTTCTCCCCAAACATTTTTTCCTGTTTTCGAGCAAGTTTTCTACACACTTATGAACTATTTTATCTAATAAGAACTTTTATTTTTCAAACAAGCCAGCATGTGACTTTCTTCAGCTTAACTAAAACATAACTTGTTTGTTAAAGGAATTAAAAGAAAATGATAAAACTTCACACAGTGGAAATTGCAGGAAGATTTTAGGAGTAATTAATAATAAAAGATATAACGATATTTAACAATAAAAATAAAACAGTAAAGTTTTTAGAAAACTATAAGTAGCTATGATTTTAAGTTTTTAATCATCGAAAATAGCCAATATTAAACATAATTATTCATTAGTAACAAAGAATTTGGTTTCAGTTTTGTTTGCAGGTAACTTACCGAACTTCTCTTGAAAGATGGCTGAGTAACTCCGTCTCCCTCAAACATGAAATAGCTGACCTCCAGTGGTGGTTTTCCAACACTGAGAAATTCTGGTAGAAATAACATATATTTCTTGTTGAAATAAAAGATACATGTGTCAGTAATATATATATATATATATATATGTATTTATATATATGCATGTATTCGTTGTATAGTTATCCATCTAACATACTTTTAAAAGCATGAATTTCAGGTTCTTTTGTCCTCTACATTTTTTTGAGAACAGAAAGAATGTTTTCCTTTCCATGTGCACGTATGCAGCGTCAGAAGACATATAATAAAGGTGTTAAGTTTCCTCTTTAATGTAGAGTAAGCTATTCTTTTTCTAATTTTTATATGCATGTTCAATTCGGAAAAACATTGAAAGGAAAATGTTTGAATTCAGCTGCAGAAGAAAGCTACAACAAAACATTTAAGAACTTTTCAAACAGCCCGAAGTATGATAATTTGTGAATTAGAAGAACGTGCACTTTAATCACACTTAAATAATAACATAAAGAATCAGCACTTCTTCATTAAATGACATCAACGTGAATTTAAAAGTAATGATTGTGATTTTTGTTCAACCAAACAACAATGCGCTCCGTCAACACCTCGATATTCTCTTATTATCATAATTAAATAAAAAAACACAGCAGTAGTCAATTTCTTCAAAATGTCTTCAACTGATTTCAGATATTGAAATATTTCATAGCCTACCTGAATCTAAAAGGCTTCAGAGCAGAAATCTTAGATAGTGTTTGGTGAATAAGGAAGTTGGGTGTAAATATGGGGATTAATTTAGTGTTTATAAAATCAATTGCACTCCTCCCTCCGTATTATTGAAGACAAGATCGCTCATACATGCTGTACCAGCCTAGTAGTACAACCTGCATGTCAGATAGAATCGCAAAACGCAACATGCCATCATGCGTTCCACTAAAATCAACGTCACGTGATCAAGTCGTGGAAAATATGTAATATAGCAACGTTGAAGATAGATGCTAAGAGGAGTGCGAGAGGAAACAAACAAACAGCTCACCTCATCCCTGGCACGAAATCGATGGTGACCACTGAATTCCTCGAGCACGCAAAGAAACTCTGCAAAACGCATCGGTGTATCGCAGTCTACAGTTCACTGCATCATTACGTAAGATCTTGCTTAGGAAAGACGTTACAGAGCCAAATATCGCAAGCTTCTCCCTTGACAGAAAAGCAATGTGTTGAGCTCTACAAACACAATCTGGCAAGTGAATGCTGGAAACTGGTTGTTATATGGAGCATGAATCTACCTCAATGACTCTAATAAAAACCGAGATATTTTCTATTGAAAACCAGAGGTCAAAGGTCGCGAATAATGTGTCGGTAATGAAAAACATATTTACCCAAAGAGTTTATGGTAGTATTAGGATACTGCCAGAATGGTAAGCTAATTCCACATAGTTGTTGTTGTTGTTTTTGAAGTTAAGCACAAAGCTACACAATGGGCTATCTGTGCTCTGCCCACCACGAGTATCGAAACCCGGATTCTAGCATTGTAAGTCCGCAGACATACCACTGTGCTACTGAGGGGCAATTCCACATAGAGGAGAATAGAATATCAAACTCAATAACATATGCTATCAAACAAACATTTGACACTCAATTTACCTGCAAGATATATCCAGTTGAACAGTTCCATCACTAAAAAATATGCATCCACTAAAACCGTCAACCCTTGTTTACATTACCAGGATGGAGGATTGGACCGTATTTGGTGCGATTTCACATAGTAAAATATCTACGAAGTTCCCAGATGCACCAACGATAGATTTGGAAAGAGGTGTTCCCGAATACTGAGTAACACTTGGAGAGCCCGTCCGGAGGAATGAGCCATCGTACCCCTCATCATTCTGTGAAAACTGGAGCGTCGAGCGATAGTTCAAGCATATGGGCATCACGTGAAGCACAAACAATAGTGGCACCATGAATTTACCTGAACCCAGAGCATGGCCAAAATCATTATTATAAACATGACCAAGTTTCCCCTATAGGCACAAACAGCTGTAAAACAAGTGAACAGTTGTCAAAGTTTGGTATAGTAGGCCTAAACAACAGAGTTTGGAAAATAGTTTAGTATGGCTAGTCGTGAGATTTTTACACGACACTGTTATTCTCTGAAATGTGAATAAGAAAAGCTTCACACATTAAGAAAAGTTTCGCTTTTACATTTAATAATGTTGGTAATAGAAAAATCTTCACACAACAACTGCGAAGTTACCATGAAGTTGCAGAATGTTGATATAACTTCCAGATAAAAAGTTCCGTATAGCAACAACACAGATTAAAAAACATATCAGAACGACATAATGGCTTTAAACTTGCAGAATGTCGTAACATGTTTACCGGAGAACTGATCATCAAAACACAATCGCTAACACTTTCAAAAACGTAGCGACAACTTTTAAACAAGGATCACAACGTCATAATTGCAGAAAATCCTCACCCTTAAAATCCAAACGTCCAAAACACAAAATCATTTACATCTTTCAGTTATAATGATAGATTAAACTGACAGAAACTTTTAAAAATAAATATAAGAAAGAAATGAGTTTTCTATCCAATACAGTTATATATACACACATATATATATATATATATAACTTCATTTAGGACTCCTTCTACGTAGATTAAGAATATAAAATTAACGGTTATAAATGTATCTTCACAGAAATTATAATAATGTATATTTCAATGTATCCTTAATTAAGGTGTTTACGTGTGTATCATAAGTTAGGTAAGTGTAAATGTTAAGGTGTTCTTGGAGAGCCATATATATCTTGATAGCTATACTGATTTTGAAATTGCTTAAAGTATTTATATATATATATATATGTGTGTGTGTGTGTGTATGTATGTGTATATAAAAGGTCTATTTGTGTAAACTTAAAGTGTTTATGTGAACCTTAATAAGATTGTGGATTTAATTATTTCTACGAGTTTTTGAAATGTTCTTATTTATATCTTCATAAGTATGTTGATTGTATATATTTTAGTGAAGTCATGAAGGTTGTATTTTGCTCAGTATGCCGACTCTGTATATTCTTGATAAACTTATGAAGTTTTTAGGTGGTTTGTTTCGAATATTCTCGCAAGATTACAGAAGAGCAACCTAAGCTAGCCGTTTGTAATTTTGAATATAGACTAGAGGACAGGTAGGTAAGAGTTTGTATATATATATCATATACATCTATTGGATTTGAATATTATAAACGAACTTTTTAATTGTTTATATGTACATCTTTGAACGTGTATCAATTGTGTGGATTTGTAAATATGTTCTTGAGCTGTTTCTCGGGTATATTTTAGGTGAATTTTCTAATATTTATACGTGTATCTTAATTAAGTACATCTACACGTATTGTGTATATTTTAGGTGAATTTTCTAATATTTATACGTGTATCTTAATTAAGTACATCTACACGTATTGTGTATATTTTAGGTGAGTTCTCTAATGCTTATACTTGTATCTTAATTAAGTACATCTACACGTATTGTGTATATTTTAGGTGAGTTCTCTAATGCTTATACTTGTATCTTAATGAGGTACATCTACACGTATTGTGTATATTTTAGGTGAGTTCTCTAATGCTTATACTTGTATCTTAATTAGGTACATCTACACGTATTGTGTATATTTTAAGACAATTCGCAAAAAACATCCATGTTTGATTTTGAAAATGTTATTAATTGCAATAAAGAAAAATGATATTATAATACATGCTTCATGAGAGCAAATAAATTTTTTAGATTGAAATTCAGCTGGACCTTGCTATGTTACAGTGCTGTTAACATTGTTTATACAAATACAGAAAAAACAAAATAAATACAGTTTCGGTTATCGACCTTCTCTGTCTATAATGGCCCAGCACGGCCAGGTGGTTAGGGCGCTTGACTCTCAATATGAGGGTCGCGGGTTCAAATTCCCGTTCCACCAAACATGCTTGCCCTTTCAGCCGTGAGAGCGTCATAACTTGACGGTCAATCCTACTATTCGTTAGTAAAAGAGTAGCTCAAGAGTTGGCGATGGGTGGTGGGGACTAGCTGCCTTCCCTCTAGTCTTTCACTGCTAAATTAGGGACGGCTAGCGCAGATACCCCTCGTGTAGCTTTGCGCGAAATTTAAAAACAAATCATATGCATATATTTTGGATAAAAGGGTGTTAGGGATTTAATGACTGGTTACAAGGCATTTAAAATAAAATACGAGCAACAGGGAAGCCCCTAGACTATTAAGTTGAAAATCCATGATACCAGCTTCATGTCACATCAAGTAGGGTTTGTATGTTTGAAGTTAAGCACAAAGCTACACAATGAGCTATCTGTGCTCTGCCCACCACAGGTATCGAAACCCGGTTTCTAACGTTGTAAGTCCGCAGACATACCACTGTGCCACTTGGGGGCTATTAAGTAGGGAAATTGATGTGGTTAGCATACTTGAGATTTCGAACTTTGCAGATACAGGCGAGTTTGCACTTTTACGAACTACGCGTATAGAACATAGGGTTCGAAATAACTCGTCTTTATAACAAAGATATTAGAGCATTATTTGATCGTGGTGTACCAAAAAACTTTCAGTTGAGCAGATACTCACTCACAAACTTCCATCAACTACTGAGATAAATAGCTATGTGACCCAACTGTTCCCTTAGCAACAACAGCGGCAAAGATCTTTCACCAGTTCTCAGGATAGCACTGGACGGTAAGGCAAAAAGGTTATGTATAGTGCAGGCCGGTGATATGGCATATAATGGAATGGGTAACAAACTTGGAAGCTTGCACTGCTAGCACCGGTACTGCAAAATGAAGCTTGCGTTAGTTATAATACTGGCGATTTGTCAAAACGAAAGATTAGGCATCGAGGTGTGTCCAAAATATACAAGGATGCTCTATTTGACCGTTTCATGGAGCTGACATTTCAGAGGCAGACATGTGGTTGAAAGCACGCCCGTCTAACACTAATGAATCGTTTCCAACAGATCAGAAAATTCGATCACATTTTTGTTTTGTTTCGTTACGTGCATAAAACCGCTGACAGAATTCCTACTGAGAAGGTCTAGTGCATATTTCGTTTATTTTATTTTTTGTATATTTTGGATTTTCTCTATTATGGAACCCCATTATGGTATTTTCGTATCTTGCTTACATTAGTACAAATACGCAAGCTTTGAACTAAAAACAACATATAGTGCCTTGTTACATTCAAATATGTTCTAATCTATACTTGCTTCTCTATCTTGTGGTCAGGGATATTGCTCTGAGAAAGTGATGACCATCTTGGTAGAGATCGCATTACTGGAGAGTAATACCTCCACGACGAAAAAGACCGATCGAAATTTTTTTAAATACATTATTCATGTCTTATACCGATGTACAACCGACATAAATACTACAGGCTTGTATCTTGTGGTCAGGGATATTGCTCTGAGAAAGTGATGACCATCTTGGTAGAGATCGCATTACTGGAGAGTAATACCTCCACGACGAAAAAGACCGATCGAAATTTTTTTAATGCATTATTCATGTCTTATACCGATGTACAACCGACATAAATACTACAGGCTCGTATAAAATAGTGCCATAAATCAGTTTTCAAAAGTTTGTCAAAACGTATAAAAACGCACCTTTCCTCGTGAATCGACTGTTAATTTGTAGTATCTACAAGTGTATCATCATAGGTATATCGATTATGCATAAGTTTTCGTTTAAAGTGCTCATATGTATGCTGATTTCAAATGTTTAATGTAAATATATTTAATGAAGTACTGAGGTGTTTATATATGTATCTTGAGCATAGTGCTGATTTTCTATACTATTTCAAGGGAATTCTTAAGAATTTAGTATGGGTGTCGTAAGAGATAATACAATTACGTATATTTCAAATGTATTCTGGGAGTATTTATGAATGTTTCTCGATAACTACGTAAACTGGGCACATTTACAAGTTTTCTTTGAAGTGCTTATAAGTATAATATCGTAGATATAATTAAGATGTATGTTTTGAATGAGTTCTTGGTGTGTTTATATGTATATCTGGGAAGTGTTGATTGTGTAGATTAAAATATATATTACATTGTTGTGTTTATATGTGTTTTGGTAAGTAAGCTCGTTCTGTATATTTTAAATGAATTCTTCAAGTTATTTTTCACTGCCTAGCCAAAATATATAGAAATCTCATTATGCATTTGTTTTTCAACTCCCCCCCCCATTCCCACACACACACACATTAGTTATTGAATTAATAAGTAACGAAATGGGTCCCTTTGAATTGGTGACATATGGTCAGATGAATCCCGATACATTGTATTCTGCAAAGATGTGAGAGCTAAAGTTTGGCGAGAGCTTTATGAAGCTTCGAATCCTTGTGTGTTGTTTCTACTGTGAGAGCCATTGGAGGTGAAGTAATGATGTGGGATGCACATTGTATTCTGCAAAGATGTGAGAGTTAAAGTTTGGCGAGAGCTTTATGAAGCTTCGAATCCTTGTGTGTTGTTTCTACTGTGAGAGCCATTGGAGGTGAAGTAATGATGTGGGATGCACATTGTATTCTGCAGAGATGTGAGAGTTAAAGTTTGGCGAGAGCTTTATGAAGCTTTGAATCCTTGTGTGTTGTTTCTACTGTGGGAGCCATTGGAGGTGAAGTAATGATGTGGGATGCACATTGTATTCTGCAGAGATGTGAGAGTTAAAGTTTGGCGAGAGCTTTATGAAGCTTCGAATCCTTGTATGTTGTTTCTACTGTGTGAGCCATTGGAGATGAAGTAATGATGTGGGATTGCAGTAACGAAATGGGTCCCTTTGAATTGGTGACATATGGTCAGATGAATCCCGATACATTGTATTCTGCAAAGATGTGAGAGTTAAAGTTTGGCGAGAGCTTTATGAAGTTTCGAATCCTTGTGTGTTGTTTCTACTGTGAGAGCCATTGGAGGTGAAGTAATGATGTGGGATGCACTAACTGGGTTCATTAATCTGTCTGAATAATCGAAAAATGTATAAACAAACATTTTTCTTGGCCACGACAATTTTCAATTAAGAATCTATAAGATGTAATGAAGCGTGCTGTCAGAACACGCACTACATTGCCTCCTCCCTTCAGAATTAGGAGAAAATACTACTTGAGAACTGTGCGTGTAAAAATCAAACATAATGTACTTCAGAAGCTAATAGAGTCTACGCCATGACTAACTGAGACTGTGATTAAAGTACGCAGAGGTCCAACTTGCTTTCAAAACAAGGTTTCTAATTTCTTAGCAAGGCAATGCAGGTGTATCTTGATGATAATACTAGTTGTGTAGATTTATATATATGTGTGTGTGTGTGTGTGTGTGTGTGCGCGCGCGCGCGTGTATAGACTGTTAATTATATCTTCCGCTAATCGCTACTTCTTAGGTATGTTGATTGTTGTCTATATTTCAAATAAGTCCTTGAATCTTTTGTGTGTATATCTAGAAAGGTACATTTACTAAGTGTGTTTTATATGAATAATTGAAGTGTATGTACGTGTTTCCACGTATGTAAGCTGATTTTGTGTTTTTTAAGTGAATCCTGGAAACAGCGTGTGTATTTTGACAGCTATGCCGATTATGAGTATTTTCAATGACTTCTTGATATGTAAGTTTTCCTATGGCGACACTGAACTGTTGATTGGTTAAATGATAAGATGTGAACCCCAAAAACATTTTGAGGAGGATAACCTTCACAGTTGTCCATAGAAGTAGAATAATTCTTTCAGCAGAGCCTTTAAAACAGTGAAGGGCTCTAAACCCGTACTTCAAGCTAATCTGGAGCAATGCCATCATCTGTAAAGTGAATGTTATGGTTATATAGAAAAAATAATTGCATTAAAGTTAGACGATATGCCAGGAGGTTATCGTTAACAAGATAATAAACACGAATATTTGAAGTTGAGAAGACTCGCAAGCCAAACTATAACAAACCTCCAATCACACCTAAAACATTCGGCTAAGTACGAGAAAAAGATGACCGAAGAAAATGGAATCATAGTAATCCATTTTTTCGCATGCCCATTACGTCTTCCATTTTAGTTCCAATGGACTTCTGTGCCTTTACTGTGCTTCTGAAGTGCATTATTTCAAGCAATATTTTCTCCACGTTCCGAAGGGCGGGGACAAAATATGTATATTCTTCGATGCTAACGTCCACGTAAATCACCACTCTTCAGAGAAGCGTTTATATGTGTAATCTTGATAAATCTGCTGTTATTTGTGTTTTAATATAATTCGGAAACGTTTTATATGTGTATATCTTCATAAATATACTATTATACGTAACTGAGATGCGAAAAACTGTTTTTATGAATATTAACAAACGTATGCTGGTTGTGCAGATTTTTTTCTTTTCAGAAAAATGGTTATATCTATCTTTTGATAAAGCTAATAATTATGATTAATTAATTTGAGCCTTGAAAGTGTTTCTATGCATATATTCGACACATATTATATATTGACTGATTTGTAATGAATTGTGGGAATACTTCGTTATTTATAACGTCATCACAATCTTAGCCCTACCTTATACAGAGCAGCTAGATGATTGGAAGTAGCTATTAGAAACGGTTGACTAACTCCAGGATGATCTATGTCGTGGCATACAGCTCCCAACAAAGACGCCATAATTTCTAAGGGACTTAACTGCTGTACAATCTACAGTAAAAAAAATAATGGTAGTTAAATATTTGATATTTTAAACAAATCTAAGGTATGACATATAACGAAGAAATATGTTGTAACTAATAAATATTAAAAAATAATTAAGAATTAATTTTATTTTTCAGATACAAATTTTATAGTTGTAGAAATGAATACGAGTTCGGATCTTTTTGTCCTATAATACGAAATTCCAGCTATATCCTATGCATAGTTTGAGATGAAACATTTGACAATGAAATATAAGTTGTAGGTAGAATTAATAAATACGTTTTAATGAATAGGTCTTTATCTTTTCTCCACTACTTCTGTAGTGACATCTAATAGTTCATTTTTGCATGTTCTAACTTGCATATTTATTATGCCAATAAGTTATATTGACAACTTTCCACTTATCTGAAATAAAAGCTAGCATCTTCAGCCTTGAAGTGTGAGACTCGTTATATTCAACTAAAATAATTGACCCGAATACGTGAATGTGAGGTCTACCAACTCCAATGTAACACATAAGCTTCGAACCTAACATGTGGATTTATGTGTGTGGCCTACCAATATCAACATGATTGTCGAACCTATTAACTCCAACCTAACACGTGATTATGAAGACTATCATCTTCGACACAACACTTAAATGAGTGTCGAACCTATCAAATCCAACCTAACACGTGTGTGTGTGTGTGTGTGTGGCCTACCAATTTCATCGTAACATTTACCTGACTGTTGAATCTACCAACTCCAACTTTACGTAAGTGTGAGGCATACTAATTCCAATATAACACCTGTTAAACTGACAAGCCAGGAGTCTTTAACTTTTCACTTTCATGATTGTGACCCTAATCAGCTCCTATCTAATTTATATCTCGGTTTCAGAGTAATTAAATCATTCTTGTCCATCTCAGTGTTAGTCCTATCAAATTCAACTTGTCAACTATTTGAGGATCGGATGTAACAACTTAAGCCTAATATATCCTTTTTCACCACATTCATAAATTAAAACTTGCATTTAACTGAGCATCCGCCCTAAAACTCCATTCTAGAATACCCTGATCATCACACCCAAAAATTAACACCTGGCATTTATGTGGGTATCAAGAGAGCATTAACTTAAGTGTTAGACCTGTTTACTTTAACATGTTCCTCATATAATCGCAATTCTTAACATTTAACAACTGCAAGGATTATTAACTTCAACTAACACTTACTCAAGAGCAAGGCCTAAAAACTTCACCCAAAAAGTTACCCGAGTGTCAAGTCCCTTAGTTCTTGCACACACATACGAAGGCCAATCCCATAAACCATAAAACGGCACTTAACTCTTACTCACATAAGCTTTATCATGCCCATTATCTTTACAGTGAACAACAACACTAAGTTTAATAATTATCTTCCTGGGTATAATTAACAACACATTTCCTTTTTTTTTTAACAGTGAACAATCCTATTTCGCTCAAACTTGAAATATTACACTTTTATATTTCTTTCGAAGAATGAACTAACGTTTTTTTATTTGTTGTAGTGCAAACAAGTGAAGTGTTTTTGACATGTTCAAAGAGATTTAGGACCTTAAAATTGAATCTAACGAGACTTAATTTCCAAATGTTATCAGAGGCTTATTTGAAGAAGAACTAATGTGTGTCTTTCGAACAATGAAATCTGATATTTTATTTACACCAGTGAACAAGTTACATTAAACAATCAAATATCATTATTTATTAGATAATGAACGTTAATATCTTATCAAACAATAATAAAAATTGTATTCAAAAATCAGAAATCGAAATGCTTTTTAAAACATACTTTTGTAAAATAAGTTTTACTGTTAAGTATCCGATTTATATTTTTAGAGACTTATTTAACCCAACCACTTTAAGATGATAAGACTGACTGGAATTTGGGAATGTAGATCAGAATCAAGTTTACCACACACACAAATATCTACCATTACATTAGTACTTACGACGATTTCTTGAAGAAAGCATAACCTGAGTCACACGTTC